CAAATCTTTACAATAATCAATGAATTCAACTCTCGCAAATAAAAGCTCACTCACGCATTCTTACAACGCCATCAGATAGGGTAAGGTCTCCTTTACTATTTGATGTTGTTAATATGCGTATTTGTTGTTATTGTTACAACACAATAAGTAATACATTTTAGTGATCTCATTAATACGGAAAATTTCGGCCAAAAATACTACACATAGGAAAGCACTTTCAAATGTTCCATCCACATGCGACCAAAAACATAGCATTAATTATTCCTTAGTATTTGCTCATCGCAATCACAAAACCACGACCAAAAGATGTCACCCATGAGAGGTAATCAACTGACCAGACAAGACACGGATTGCATATTAAAATAATCGAATCGATGACGCTTTCGCTCCCGAAACTGTGGATGGTTTCAAGCAATGAAGCACACGGAACATTCGGCCAAACTCGTAGCATTTATATTTTTATATGACCAGTGCCTGTATGTATAATTTCTAGTTGTTATTTTTCGAAAAATAACTCCTTTTATCCCCCTCACACCGTTCCGAACCCGATTTTTCTCGCATAAGAATCGATAATTGCTGCTATATACAACCGAGAACGATATGCCGTTCTCAACGCCGTGTCGTTTAGCAGCGGGCAAGGTGGGATCGCGAATTCGGTCAGTCAACAGCGCTTTGGTTATGTGTGTATGGGTACATATTTTTTTCATTCTTGTCGATCACTCGCCGGAAGATGGCAAGATATACTTTTTGTTTTGTTTTGTTTTGTGAAGAATGATTTTCGTTACACTGCCAATCAGCAGATTCTAACTTTCACTAACTTTGTTGGGAAAATAGGTCAAAGAAGTATTGTAATGCAATCCACTAGTTCGATGTGACATTATCAGTCTTATTGATATGTGACATGTGTATTAAAATATATTTAACTAATTTATCGTTCCGAGGTTTATAAAGATTTCTTAGAATAGGCTTATAAATATAGAATACATATTTGCTATGTTTTATTCTCGGTAACTGTTCGTTTGTGATAAAGGTATTAGTGAACTCCTCTGGCCGCGTTTCTCAATATATGATTCGCAGGCTCGTTCGCAGGAATTCGGACAACCTAGTGATGAGTTTTTTTTTCTAAAAAAAAAAAATATTTAAAAATGCAGTTGAAGTAATTAAAATTGTGCTAAAATAAGAATCTCTTGGATTTATTGCTGTTGCTAGTAAAAACAGATTGATTTTCAAATCATTAAAAACTGGGGCTTCTTTGTAGAAGTGAAAATGAACATTTTTTCGTATGAACGCTTGTATGTAAAAGTAGTTTTGGCTTGGTTACATGATGTGGCCCTGAAAGTTATTTCCAACCGAATTGGTAAATAAGATTTCTCTTTTCTGCTAGTAAATTAAACATCTTAACAGAATTCTTATTATAAATGTTTTGGAGTAGGTTCTCTATATCTTTTCAATTCTCTTCCCTTCAGTGTTTTTAAGCCATTTGGGCCATTTTCAAGAAATTTTGCCGTGTTTAAGCCATTTTTAAGTAATTTTAACATATTTAGAGACGGCCTAGATTTTTGAACTATTTCGGTGTTTTTTACCATTGCAGGGGTCTTAGTGACATTTTGGGTTTATAAACACAGAAAATACTAATTTTACACCTGACTTAGGTTACCTTAGACTGGCTGCACATATCAGAGCACTTCTTTGCCTAACCCGTACGATGTACGCGGAGATTTGAAGTTGGGTTTTTGATCTAATTTCCGTCCTACTAAGCACATCCGGCGCTTTACCTCTCTTTTCTGAACGAGTTTAAACAAAAAATGGAATACTTCTGTCAAAGATGACTTCTAAATTCATTCACCTTTCCATACGTACCGTTGGATTTGATAAAAAGTCACAAATTGTTGAGATATTGTTTAAAATCTAACACTACTTCTTGATTCTAAATTCGTTCTACGAGTTTCGATTCCGTCCAAACGCATTGAAACGCCATTAGATTTTCTTCGTCCTACGGATAAACGTAGAAAAAGAGGATTCGCTAGGAGCGCTTCTTTTGTTTTGAGAACAATGAGCGTAAATATTCATACAATGCGCTCCAACTGGATTTATGTTGTAGCTAATAAACTTACGCATCAAAACAAACCTATTATTGATTTGTGCATGGTGAAATCATTGATATTATTGATCTTTTCTGATTGGGCGATTACGACGAAGTAGTGCTCTACCCTGTGTCAGAATCTAGAAAACACATAACAAAAAAAATACCATTAACACACGTGTATCATCTTCGGTTTTACTTCGTGAAGCATAGAGATGAACTAGCTAAGGTTAAAAATCTCTTTAATAAAGTTAAAAAAAAAAAAAAAACATCGTGAAGCAGCTTGCCAGCCATATGGTCGTTTCCTTCTACCGAACCGAACGAGCTATGTGCAGAAATTGTTTGTCATGAAGAAAAAGGAAGAAGATTATATCATTATTGCTTTCCATTTCTGACAAAGAGTTATCACTCGGCTCGTTGATCGCTGGTCATTTTGTGATTTTGGGATATTTTTGATTCCTTGGTCACGATTAACGGTCATTTGAAAATTTGAGCTGATCGAAAACCCGGTAAGAGAGATGCAAATGATAGTCCCTCTTAAGTGTTACAATATGTATATGATACGGTCAAGATGTAGAGGCAGAAATTGGGTTAAATTTACAAAAAAAAAACCATCACCATCAAGTAGGGTAATGTTTGCGTGGGGTACATTTAGGGCAAAGCTTAAAACTCGTTTTTTCACTATCTTGCCTGAAATTCCTCATATCGAACATTTAATTATTAATATTTTATTGTGATTATCGATCAACGTCCTACAGTTCATGGTATATTAAGAGTCAGAGTACCAAGTCTGCAAACTGTGTGTCGAGCTTGTACACAGCATAGCCACGCAGTTTGCAGACTTTGTACTCTGAGAGTTATAAGCTATCTATCGATATTTTGTACTTCTCTGGTGCATAATTTCTAGTGTGGTTTTGAAGAGAAGATAACATAATCTTATGTTTCAATGTGTTTTCTTATTCTTCCTGGATTTGATACTCTTACACGATCTTCGATCTTCGCATGCCATTCAAAGCATGGATTTGTATATGGTGTGGCAAGCACAACTCTATGCCCTGGAAAGTCCAAAAAATTTAAAACCCGGAAGATTTTCTAGTCCGAACTGGTAATCAAACCCGCCGCCTCCGGCTTGACAATACAGTGCCTCTTCTGACTAAGCCATCTAAGGCATTTATGTATCCCATACATTTTTGAAATAATATCAACCAATGCACAATATATGTGTCGGACACATACTTCCACATATTATCCATTTAACACACAAACTGAAATATTTCAGCGATTATTCCATTTCGCATAATCGAGTGTATCATCGGCTCTGGTCCATACATTGTGTGACTTTTTGCACATTCTCATCGGAGAAATGTGCAGCGATCGCGCTTTTTGCGGATCAAATGAGAACAAAGTATGCGAGCTTACACACTGATTCACAAACTTCTTGCATGCGGTGTAAGCTTTTAACGTGTCTCAAAACCAGATTTTATTTGTTTTTTTTTTGTATCGCATTTGTAACCAAATTCCCGGGTCGTTCTCGCGGCTGCTGGTGAATGTATGCACGTAGGGTAACTATTCCTATGTTGGTCCAATAGCTATAACAATAGGTTTCGCGATAGTCAAAATTTGGAGCATGGGACCAACATTGGAACGCTAACCCTACATACGATCGCTTTACATTTCCCTTTGACTCTATACTCTAATTCTGTAAACAAACATTTGCCGAAGTAAATAAATATCGTTCGTGCCGTAGCGAATAGGCTGAAAAAAATGAACACTTTTGGAACCCGGCGTCGCATACTATCCGTCTGAGAATTTATACGACCATAGTCAGTGGTTATAATCTGCGAGTGGAAAAAAATTGGCAATCAACACGAGGCACACGGCGTCGGTCTTTCGTACCGATGAAGAAGCGTCTCTGAGAGTAATTTGAATTTTACCCGCGTCGAAGATGTTTGATATTTTTGTTTTTGCGGAATATTTCATCAAGCAGGAACGAATAAACAACAAGCTGAAGTGATAAAATAAAGACGTTACCATACACAGTACCATGTGAACTATCAGTGCAATGTGAAGTGCCTGTACACGTGCATTCATTTGACGAAGATAATGTTCCGACGATTTTCACTCTTCGATTCGTCGCCACCGGCAGCGAGCGTATCGATATCGAGACCTAAAGTTGTGCCACCGTTGCTCCACTCCAAATCACTCAACAATAGTGGTGTTACCTCGCCAGTCAACGGAAATGGATATCCAGAACAAACGACTACCCCGCAGATACGGGTTCCTCGTAGAACCAGTCCAATCACGATCCGAAATAATCGGAAAGTTAGTGTATCACCTCAGGCGATACCCAGTACTCCGTCACCCAAAGAATCAAAGCAGAAGAATCAACGGCATTCAACCGGTTCTGCACCGAATCCTAGTCTCCTGCAGCAACAGGTTCACGCTGCACAAGTATATCTAAGTTCGAACCGTAACAGTTTCGTGCTACATCCTCATGGCAGTACAAACGCAGCTCGAGACCAATATAAATCTGCTCGTTCTATCAGCAGTCCAGCATCGCCAAGTCCACTGTCTTCATCGTTTCCTAGTGCCACCGATGCTAATTATCATCCCGGGAGGTCGCCTAGCTGGTACACCCGATTTAGCCAATCGCTACGAAAAAGCATGTCCCGTCAGTCAGTCAATAATAATGTAATTTGCCAATATTTATTTTTAAATTGCCTGAATCCAAACCACTCCAATACTCACTAGATAGCAGGTCCGCCAATTTGGTTAACCCATGTCTAGAGTGACATCAAATTCCATTAGCAACCTGTCATGGTATATTAGAAAATATTTCACACCCCACGCCAACTGACAGTGACCGGAATATGTTTCGTACTAACAGGACAATTTATTTTCCATCTACTCGTTTCAGCTCCCCGTGGCCGATCCCTTCCTGGAAAAAGTTAGCTTATCCGATTTAGGTAAGTGGTTGAGATATATGTGCTATAATTAAGTTTCAAATGAGAGTGAATCGAGTTTCTGCATTGTTTTTCTGATGAAGACCCATTAGGTTGATGGGGGAGAACAACTTCTACTATTATACGAAACAGGGTGAATTCTGACCAATTAATCATGTCGTCCGGCCATTTTCTACAGAGATGGCGCTGTCCCGCTAGTAGGAAGTGATAAAAAACCTCATATAGAAATTGAGAGAAGTGAGAACAATTCGCTTTCGGTGCATATTCAGATCAAAAAAGTTTTGCCTGCTTTACCCAGAGAGCCAAAAACATTCAAATTTGAGAGAGAAAATTCTCTCTCATGACCTCAATCTCTAAACATGCCATGTATTTTGATGACACCCGATTTGTGATTTCCCTATCACAGATTACAAAATAGAGTATGTGACACTACAAAACATGCCTGCTACCTCTATATATGCATTTACTTTAACATTTGAAGTCCCTCATTCATTACATATTCTGCGCATAAGATGCCCCGCCCCATACATAAAAATCGACGGGAAATTCTGTGAGGGGTGAGCTATTTTGTGTGCAGAATGTGTAAAAAAGGAGGGACTTTGAATATTAATCTAAATGCATATATAGAGGTACCAGACATGTTTTGCACTGCAGTGTCCTCTGTGAACAATTAACGAAAAACAGATTGTGAGTAGTTTTCGATAGATGTCACGGCAATCAACAGCAGATGGAACATGAATGCAGAAGCTTGACAAAATCATTAATTGGTTTTTACGTTATTTTTAACATAGAAATTATCCATTGTTTTGCGCCTTGATCGTATTGTTTACCCTTCATACAGAGAAGGGTATACACAACGCTTGGATAACCAACTTTCGAACTGAGGCTCGGAGAGCCAAGTGCCATTTACCATTCGACTCAGCTCAACGAGATCAGAAAATGTCTGTATGTGTGTGCATGTGTTTGTGTTACACAATTTGGGGCGACGTATTTTTCAGTAATCACTGGACCGAATTGAACGCAACAACCGCCAAATGAAAGGTATGGTGGTACCATAGAACACATAGAATCATATTTTTGGAATCGGTGAGTATGGGTTACGAGAGCAGAGTTTATCTAATACGTGTCAAATCATGCGGCACCTCAAACCACATGAGAGTTAAAAATGATGGTCACGTTGAGCGTACAGGATCAAATTGGACACATCCGGACATATACCACCCATAAGGAGCTTTTTCATTACTTTTTATTATAGAATGCGAACGTAAAATCCAGTGGAATTTTTAGTTAACCCATCTTAAAATAGATAGCATAACCTTGAGGATTGATTAACTGCAACCAGGTCCCAGGGCTTGTCTGTATCTTTACAATTTAAAAGATGCTCACTACTGAGGCCAGTTGTGATGTAGCGGACCAAATGTTTGTTGGAATTTAACTACAAGCCAAAATTAAATAATTGTGTAGTTTAGAATTATGATTTTAACTATGAATTGTTTTTTCCTAAATGATTCAGTCTAATGGCTACAAAACTTATTATTATTTTTTATTTATTTATGTGGTTCAAAATTTTTGGAATGCGGCATCACACAGGTACTAACTTTGAATTTGGATTGATCGAGCGGCGATTTTCTATTCTTTAGATCAAGACGATGAAGTTTTGAAGAAGACAACGATATTAACTATCTGCACCCTGGATCGACATATAGCCATGATGTAGATGGATAGAACATCATGTTATTTTCATAAAAACAAAACCTTCATAGCAGACATCAGGAAAGCCCTTAAGTATGGGATCACGGAGAAGAAGAAAATTGGAAGACCATGCTTCACATGGAAAACCAGCGCAAGGCACGCTGTAGAAGGAAGCGGTCGATCGGCGGTTTATTGGCAAGAGGTGGCTAATAACTGAAGCGAGTTTCAAACAGCCACGATAAGATCGTTCACTGAAATCATGGAATCAGAATACGAAGACTCCGAAGATACTCTCAGTGATTCAAGTTAACCAGTGCCCTCACGGAGACAACCTTGACGAAATAACTCTAGGAGTTAAAAGTCAAGTAAATGTTCATGCCTAGCCTCAGTGCATCAAGTATCGATGATGAACTGAACATCATAATAATATACCATCGCTTTATTGTCAAACTCTGTGATGGTAAAATCAACTAACAACTTCCTTTACTTTCACCAATCTCGGTCATTATTCACATTGCAACTTTTTTCATTTAGGCATATTCAATTGACCTGCATTGGGGGACTCGCGATTCAGCATGGAGAGTGTATGGGAGCCATTCTAGGGGTTATTTGGGGCATGTTGTTCATTTTAGACATTATAGTTTGACGTGATGACCACGATCCACTCGCGTTCTTGGATGCAGCCTTGAGACTTGAGATTTGGCCTTCATAAGACCCCCTTCTGTCTCGCAAAATCAAAATAAAAAAAAAATCAATAAAACATCTTAAAATAGATGGTTTAGTGCTATTAATCTCCCTATCAAAATGGAAAATGTCCGCACCGTAGTGCCAAACTCTGTGTTTTCACTGAAGGTGCACTCGAAAACGCTCTCAAGTGCACTTTCAGTGAAAACACAGAGTTTTACTCTACGACGTGGAAACTTTGAATTTTGATAGGGATATTAATAGCATTAAACTACATATTTTAGCGTTAGCGTTAGTTTTGTTACGGTACCCGAGCAAAGTCGGTTAACAAAATGAAAGCAAATCGATATTAAAGTTTGCAGTTCCTATCATAATGAAAACTCATTTTGATTTCAATTGTCGCGCAGAAGTCTGATATCATATTGTGCTTTCATTATGCAGTCAAGACTTTTTAAATCGAAGCAACTTAACTTGAAGTTCTGCTGTTAATTTCTTGTTTAAAATTTGATTTAAGTTCATCTGTCGTTGAACAAACGATTATTGTTTATTTGTTTTGTTTAACACATTTTAGGTCATTCGTGATTAGCCCGAGGTGACATTTGAGCTCAAATCTTTCAGCGTGAGAAGCATGGATGCTAACCATTTACGACAGGCCCGTATTCAATCAAACATTATGAATGCAAAATCAGTAATCAAATTGATTTCATTGAAAGCAGAATTAGTTTTCCGTTTGATTCAACAGTGTAAAATGTTGCTCTCATTTTTGCTGTGTTAACCGTTAAGTCAACCAAAATGAGATCAAATGGAGTATTCAAAATAAGTTACATCATAACAGCAAATTCTGATTTCAATTTGATCTCTAACTTTGCTCGGGTATACTTCGTAGATGGAATCCCGAGCAAAGTTAGAGATCAAATTGAAATCAGAATTTGCTGTTATGATGTAACTTATTTTGAATACTCCATTTGATCTCATTTTGGTTGACTTAACGGTTAACACATCAAAAATGAGAGCAAAATTTTACACTGTTGAATAAAACGGAAAACTAATTCTGCTTTCAATTAAATCAATTTGATTACTGATTTTGCATTCATAATGTTTGACTAAATACGGGCCTGTCGTAAATGGTTAGCATCCATGCTTCTCACGCTGAAAGATTTAAGCTCAAATGTCACCTCGGGCTAGGCACGAATTACCTAAAATGTGTTAAACAAAACAAATAAACAATAATCGTTAGTTCACCGACGATTTTAAACAAGAAATTAACAGCAGAACTTCAAGTTAAGTTGCTTTGATTTAAAAAGTCTTGACTGCATAATGAAAGCATAATATGATACCAGACTTCTGTCTCGACAGTTGCATCTGAAAACCAAAACACTTCACGACAAATTATTATTAATTTTTTGCTTGGTATGTAACGAACATGAAAGATACGCGATAATTCATATAGTTTTACGGTTGACGGTTGACGACGACAACAGCGAATTTGAACCTTACCATTTGTCTAGGATATAACACATTTGCCGGGCACCTCCATTTGATCTTCATGTCCACCATTTGTCACTGTCTGCAAACATATCTAACATCAAACCTGTGTTGCAAAACTTCCTTTAACGAAAACATTTTTTTTTGCATTATCATGATCATCTGGGAGGAGGCCGCGTCTTAAGTCGCTGGTCCACTGAGCACTCTGAATGAACGCTCCGTACGACATTGAATCAAAGTAGAGATTAGTATGAAATGGTGTCATATGCAAAGCGCGAAAAGAGAATGAAAAAAAAAACTAAATGGATTAGTTTCAATAAGTGATGGTTTCATCGGATTCCACAACCAACCATACTCAAGCAATGTAAGCATACAGGGTGTTTGGTTCCGGGTTTTACATATTTTCAGGGTAGATAGGGCTCCTAAAGTTATGAAAAAATCCCCATGAAACATAGGGTCGGAAATGACTGCTAAGTGAGTTATTCAACATTTTATGTTTTTTTGTATTGCCAACTTTGGTTAGCTATATTTTTTCAATCTTAATGTGGTTTTCTGATTTCAACATACCAAATGAAAGATTAAAGTCTTAGCTATCAATGCTCTTTGAAAAAGAACTCGATTTAAGTTAATTATCATACATTAAAATTGAAAAGTATGTTGAAAGTACCAAACAAACTTGTGAAATTTCATACATTTTAGTGTTTTTAAGTTGAAAATTTTCATTTCTGTTTATTTTGTTGTTCTACAAAACATTTTCCATGCAGTTCCCTAGATTTGTGCCTTTGGTAGTATCCTTTATGGCTTTATGGTTTCTTCGTAATTATTGATTTAAAACAGCCATAAAAACTTGTGACGTTTTCATAAAATGCGCTATAGTCACCCTATTCGTTCGTACGTTCGGCTGTTGCAGTGGACTACGCACATGAAAGTTTGGTAGAATGTTATTGTAAATGTTGAGCTACATTCTTAACTTTTGATTACCGCACATCTCCTGCGCCGAAAGAAAACATAACTGCGGAGATGTTTCGCGGTATCGAATATAGCTCAGTCTCAGCAGAAAACACAACGAGAGACACCGAATCGGCGAGTTCTGTGAGCGGAAGGGAGAGAAGTAGGTAGTGGTAATAAGTCGATGTCCTTTT